AGTCCACAACCTCTCTGGATCTCCGCTGACCATGCCATTCAAGCCAGCTCCTCCTCCGACACACACCCGTCTCCTTCACGTTGAAATTCCTTTATAGACTTGTCTGCAGGCCCTGTCTCCGTGGCCCCACCTCCACTGCACTCCTCTGCAGCACCAATCTGTCCAATCTTTGTGTTTGTCATGGCCATGAAGGAAGAACACAGCCCAGAATCCAACATCCACTGTCAGGCCTCACTGCACCTGCCCTCACAGGGTTCCCAGCAGGTGAGCATGTGCTCTTCCTCCAGGGGGCCCTCTCCCCTGGGTGTCTGAGGACTAGATTTTCCTGGCCCTCTCTGTCCTTTCTCAGCCTGCTGTGCTGGGAGGCCCTGCCCAAGGCCACAGAGCTTGGAAGGGGTGAGGGGAGATGCGCTCTCTCCCTTCCACCACCATGCAGGGGTTCAGTATGGCGGTGGCATGACACACACATGGAAAAGTAGTCAGGGGTGGGGTCAGGGGGCAGCAAATAGGACTTTGTCTGAAAAGACAGGTGAGTGTTATCCTGAAGTCTGTGAGAAAGGATGGCAAGGAAGAGAGCACAAGAATCAGACTTTCATTTCAGAGCCATCACTCCGGCTAAGGTGAGAAGGAAGAAGGCAGGGGCAGAGATAGAGCAAAGAAGACCAGCCGGGGCAACTGCCGTGACCCCGGAGGGAATGAGGAGCCACAGAAGCAGGCTACTTGGCAGAAGGGATGGACAGGAAGGGCCAGGATCAGGGATATTTGGGAGAAAGTTTTGAGAGAGCCTGGAAGTGAGGGAAGAGCCTGGAATTGCCACCAGATGTCTTGCTTTGGCTAACGGGTAGACTGTGGCAGAGGTGCTTGGGTGTGGCAATCTTAGAGCAGATATGGTGTGCTGGGTCACCAGAGGCTCCCCTGAGACTGAGGTTCAAAAACTGCATGCAGTGGAGAAGGCTGTTGGTAGAGACCAGAGATTCAGAAATCCCTAGAACACAGACCCCAACAATGAGCCCACAGATACAGGAGCCCCCTTCCTAGGTGCCTGCCAGCCCAGGCAACGTTCTAGAGAGCGCAGAATCCAGGCACATCCCAAGCGGGTGAGGGATGAGGCCAGGACGGGCCAGTGGAGAGCCAGGAAAGGAGGCTCCAGCCAAGAGGGAGGAAATCCAGCGCAGGCATCAGGAGGGAAAAAAGGACCTTCTAAAGCTTCCCCATCCCAGCTCTGAGCAAGAGCTTGGGGGAGAGGGGAGGGCAGGGGCAGGCAGCTGGCCGCTCAGAGTGCCACACATCCATCACAATAAGGGGCACAGAGCCAGCCTCTGTGCAGGCTCCTTCAGGCATCCACCAGCCCCTTAGCAACTCGGCCCCAGGCTAGGGCTCCCCTTTGGGGCCCCTGAAGGGAACTAGGCAGCACACCCAGAGACACAGAGGGCCCTTCACACTTGTCCCAGGGAAACCCCAATCCTGCAGGAGAGAGCACCTGGAGGAGGAAAGACACCCAGGAGGGCTCACTGCTGGGCCAAGACCAGGACTGAGAAGAGCAACGTGGTATCCCTACCACCACCTCCACCCCCAAGTTAAGGATCCAGGAAGAAGAGGAAGGCCCAGAACTTTGGGGAGGGCCAGCCTTTCTCTAGCTTCCCAAAACTTGGAATGACTCCATACACGCCTCCCTCCTGCACCCATGGAAACTAATCCCACAGTGGCCTCAGCCTCGGCTCCAGGACAGCAAGGGGCCCAAGCCAGTCGTGGATACCCCCTCGCAGGCCCGGAGCACCTCTGCACCAACACAGAGCCAGGCACTTTCAACACGTTAGTCAGTACTTCTCACCCTGACCTCACTCTGTGAGGCGGAGCCCAGGATCCCCACATTACAAGTAAAGTCACTTGAACCCCTGAAAGTTTAAGGAATTTGTCCCAGAGAGGCTCCAGTTTCTCCTCTGGCCCAACTCCAAAGCCCACACAAAGCCTGGGCAAGTCCCTTCTCTGCAGGCCTTAATTCCGTGGGCGGAAAATGGAGATAATTCTAGCGCTGCCTACCTGACAAACAAGCTGCAAGAATGAAAACAATTCCACATACAGGTAAAATGTGAAAAGTGCTACTGGTGGCCTTCACAGGCTGCCACCACTAGAAGCCGTGTGTGACCCTTAGCACCTGCCTCCCTGGGCCTCATCCACCAGTGCCCAAGTGGGGCCTGGAGACACTTCTGCCCTGGCCTCCCTGTGTGCTGGCCAGATATGTTTCCTGAGGACTTCGCCATCTGGCCCCGGGCCTCCTCTCACTCTCATCCGGATCTAATCTCCCTCTTTTCCTCCCTCTCTCTCAGCTCAGCTCCGCCCACTCACCACCCACAGGGCCCGGCCTCCTCCCCCACCCCCGCCCCGGGACCCGGCCTCCTCTCTCCTGAGCCCCGGCCTCCACTCCCCCCTGGGGCCCGGCCTCCTCTCTCCCCGCCCGGGGCCCGGCCTCCTCTCTCCTGAGCCCCGGCCTCCTCTCCCCCCGGGTCCTGGCCTCCTCTCCCGCTGCAGCCCCCGGAAGTCGCGCCTCACCTTCCGCCTCGCGCAGGCCGCCACCGCGCAGTCGATCGGATCCCGTGGGCTGGTCAGTCGGCCCCGCGCTACTCCGGGAGCCGTGGGGGCGGGCCCCGCACCCGGCCCTTGCCATGGCAACGCTATACTTCCGGCCCGCGAGGCCCGGGGCCGGAAGCCGGGGCGCCCCGTGGAGCCGGGGGCGGGGCTGAGCTGCCCGGGGGCGGGGCCTGCCCCGAGTCTCTGGTGGACCGCTGCGGCTGGCTGCGGACCGGGGAGTGTGAGCTTCTCTTTGGCAAGGACATCCTCGGCGTGGGTGGGGCCTGGGTGGGACGGGAAGGGCAAGGAGTCAAAAGACTCCCAGGAAGGTGGTCATCTATTTATGCTGGGCTTTTAAGGAAAGGTCGGAGTTCATGCGACAGAGCAGAGGCATCACGGGCAGAGGGAACAGCATTCGCAAAGGTGGAAGGACCTGGTGCATTGGGACAATGGGAAGCAGCTGAGATGGTGGTTTAGGAGGGCAGGGGGTAGAGTGTGGTCAGACATGAGTAGTCAGTCAGGACACAAGGAGCCTTGAATGCCAAACCAAGGAGTTGGGCTTTATCTCGGAAGCAAAGGAGGACTAGTGGAGGAGAGGGGTGACTTAAGACTTGTAGGAGAGAAAGACCTCCTTGCTAAGGGAAGGAGGCCATAGGTAGTAACAGCCTGGTGAGACAAAAGGACCCCCTCAACTAGAGCCCTGGGAATGGACAGGAGTTCAGAAGGTGACATAGGAGTCCAGAGGAAGCCAGGTGAAGTCTGAAGGGAGAGTGAGATATTGGGGGGAGCAGTGTGGTACCCCACATACATCATCCATCTCAGCCCAAGGCTTCCTCCTCCAGTGCACCCATCCTTCATTCCTTCCCTCAGTGCCTCAGTGTGAGCTGGACACCCACTGTACGCTGTGGATTTTCAACCCTTTTAAGGGTATTGGGGGGGCTGCATAATAAAAGCTGAATTCTTGGAGTAAAGTGATATAAAGTGTGTCCCTGTGCTCCTGTGGCCTCTCTTGGGTCTGGGGGCCCTGGTACCAGTATCAACCACCACTGCTAGTGCCCTGGGCCTGATACCCCCTTGGGCAAACTTGTGGCGGGGGCTGGTTGACATGACACACATCTGGGCTTTGGGGCAGGGTACAGAGCACAGGCCTTGACTGACTTGAGGGGCAGGGCCACAGATCAGGTGGCCAGAGAGGAGAAGGTGAGGGGACAGAAGAAGGTCTGGGAGTTAGGAGCACCGGTGAGTCTCAGGACAGCTGCCAGAGGCATTTTTCTTGGACCACACCTTTAGGCCAGGTGCTCTGCCTGCTAAAGCCCTCAGAGGCTCTGGCCAGGCCTGAACAGAGGGTGCTGGCCCCACAGGCCTCCCCAGCCTGAGCCTCCATTCCTTCTCCTAGAGTGTCCCTCCTCCACTCAGGCCAGCTTCCACCTGCCTGGGGAGCATCTGCCTCCTTCTAAACTAAGCCGTAGGGCCTTAGCTGCCAGGGAAGCCCTGCCTGTGCACCCACACATAACACACCTGCACTCTGTCCCACCCAGGGCAAAGCCAGGTAGTCCTCACATGACCTATGGGGCTGTATCCTCAAGTCCTGGCCCCGAGAGGTGTCCAGTAAACACTTACAGCTAGAAGACCTCTTCCTCCATGCACACCCATACAGGGGCACTGCCCAAGTGCCCCCAAGGAACAAGGGGCATCCTCCCTGGGGGCAACCTCCAGAGCATCTGGACCCAGAGGACCAGAAGAGGAGGAGGGAGGCAAGCCCACCTCGAGGCAGTCCTCTGAGGCCGGCTCACTCAGGGCCAGTGAGGTGCACAGTGAGTAATGAGGGCTGGTTAGCTCCCAAGATCCACTGTTGACAGGTACCAAGGAGGGAAGCAGCCTCCAGGGCCTGCGGACCCTGCTGGGGCCCTGCAGCAGCCCCTGGGAAAAATCCCTTGAGTCAACTGTGCCCCTCTTTTGTTCCTGAGGTTTTCTCCAGGAAGCCCTCCCAGACCACCACTCAGGTCCTGCTCAGCCTTGAACTCTCCGAAGACCCCACCCCTTCTTGGCAACTCAGCTTGGACAAATCACTCTCAGGTGGGTTAACTGGGAGCCTGAGACTGAACCGAGACAGAAAGGATAAAGTAACCCTGGGTCATGGGCTTCTTCCAAGGGCTTTTCCTTCCAGGTCGTAGGGGGTGCTGAAGGCAGTCCAGGGGTAAGGAATGAGGCCTGAGTGGCCGCCTGCAGCCCCCACTGGAATCTTCCCTGCCCCTCCCTTTCAGATTAACTGAAATCTGCTAATTGTGGCAGCCCTCTGCATGCTCCCCTCCCCCACCGCCGTATTCCTCCCTCCCTTTGCCTCCCCTCCCCTCCCCCTTCCATCCGAATGATAAAGGGCCCGGCCCGCCTGCCCCCGCCCGGCCTCAGGCCCTGGCCCTTCCTCGCCACACTGCCCCAGTGCCCTGCGCCCTCCACGGGCCAGGCCTCTGCCCACGTTGTCGGCCTCCCCTGCATGGGGCCCTGCAGCAACCCAGGCCTGGGGCTCCCCGGGGCGGAGTCGCCCTCCCAGCCCCCCAAGAGAAGGAAGAAGAGATACCTGCGGCATGACAAGCCCCCCTACACCTACTTGGCCATGATTGCCCTGGTGATCCAGGCCGCACCCTCCCGCAGGCTGAAGCTGGCCCAGGTGAGAGGGTCCCCCACTCTCTTCACACTCCGAGGTCGCACCCTTCCCTAGACCCATCTCCCGCCTACTCCCAGGCTCAGGGTCGGGCCTCCACCCCCACCTGGCCCTACCCAGCTATGCCAGCGGGGCCAGTCCCGGCCTGGGCACCCGGGGAGAGGGCTGAGGCGCTCAGGCAGGACCCTTTCCGGTGAGGTGCTCCCTTCTCCCTCAGGTTCAGAGGTGTTCTGGGGGGGCGGCGCCGGGGCGCCCTTAGGCCCGGCTGTGGGGGAGGGGCGGCTGCCCCCTCCGCGCCCCGGCTTACGGCGCCTGCCCGCCGCCCCATGGTTTCAGATCATCCGTCAGGTCCAGGCCGTGTTCCCCTTCTTCAGGGACGACTACGAGGGCTGGAAGGACTCCATCCGCCACAACCTCTCCTCCAACCGATGCTTCCGCAAGGTGGGGCAGGGCGAGGGTCGGAGCCGGGGGGCGGGGCGGGGGCAGTAATCCCGAGTATCCGGGGTCGCGCGGCCCCACCCAAGCCTGCCCCCCCACCAGGTGCCCAAGGATCCTGCGAAGCCCCAGGCCAAGGGCAACTTCTGGGCGGTCGACGTGAGCCTGATTCCCGCCGAGGCGCTGCGGCTGCAGAACACGGCCCTGTGCCGGCGCTGGCAGAGCAGGGGCGCGCGGGGGGCCTTCGCCAAGGACCTGGGCCCGTACGTGCTGCACGGCCGGCCCTACCGGCCGCCCAGTCCCCAGCCTCCGCCCAGCGAGGGCTTCAGCATAAAGTCTCTCCTAGGGGATCCCGGGGAAGGGGCGCCACGGAGCAGCCCAGGTCTGGCGGGCTCGGCGGGCAGTGGAGAGGTGGTGCCCACTCAGCCCCTGCTCTCTGAGAGGCCTCTGTGGCCCCCCTACCCCCTGCCTGGGCCCATGAGAGCAGAGAGGGAGACTTCCCAGGGGGGAACCAGCAGGCCCTCACCCCTCTCCCCTGAGCGCAGAGCCTGGCCTCTCCACTTACTGCAAGGTACCTCAGACCCTGGGGGACTGTCCAGTGGGGGTCACAGGGCCTCACTTTGGGGGCAGCTTCCCACCTCCTACTTGCCCATCTACACTCCCAACGTGGTAATGCCCTTGGCTCCACTACCACCCACCTCCTGCCCCCGGTGCCCACCCTCAACCAGCCCAGCCTACTGGGGGGTGGCCCCTAAAACCCACGGCCCCCCAGGGCTGCTCTGGGATCTAGATGCTCTCTTCCAGGGGGTGCCACCCAACAAGAGCATCTACGATGTGTGGGTTAGCAACCCCCGGGACCTGGCTACCCCCACCCCAAGCTGGCTACTCTCCTGGTACAGCCTGTGAGGCTCCCAGGGCAGGGGCTGCTCTCCTCTCCCACCCCCTCCTGCCGCCCTTGGCTTGTTGGCTTGTTGAGGGGAAACCGAGGCCAAGAGGACCAAGAGGTGTCTGGCCACAGCAGCCTTGAAACACCAGACACCAGCCAGGCTGAGAGTCCACAATGTTTACTGGACTGCCTCACGAAGGGTTGTGGCCCAGATGGGCAGCACCCTGGCCCTGACAGCCAGTCATGCCTCTCCTACCCCCAGAGGCACGGCTGGAAGGAGCAGGGCTCTGCTTGGAGTAGCCCTTCCTCTCTCCTTCCAGGTCCCACCTTCTCTGACCCTCTGTCCATCCGTCCATCCATCACCATCTGTCACCTCCCCTCCCTGGCTCTGGGCTGGGGGAGAACCTAATAGTGGCTCCAGCCTGAAGTGTTGTCCTCCCTCAACTGCCTGGCAAGGAGATAGCACCTTTTTCGGGAAAGGGGATGGGGGATAGGGTCCCTACAGTGGTTTTGGTGGTGGTAGTGGGAAAAGCACAGTAAAGGAACACACAACGTTTTAGCGGCAAGTCTGATTTTTGGGGGCTGAGTGGTGACTGTGGTGACTCGGGTAACACTGGGCCGCGATCTGCGTCCCGTCCCGCGGCTCTAGGATCCCCTGCTGTGTGCGCGATAACAACAAATGGTGATAAAGAGGGAGCTCAGGGACTGGGGGGCAATCATTTCTCAGGCTTAACACTCCTTCTCTCGGGGGGGGGGGGGGGAGGGGCAACTCTGGAAGTTAGGGGGTGCAGTTGGCCCCCGAGGTCAAGAAGGTTGTGGGGGTGTAGGGACTTTGCTGCCTCGGCCCGCAGAGGCGCGACCCCAGACTCCCTGCGCAGGACTTAAGAAGGCAGGTCCTCCAGTGGTGCGAGGGCCGAGCTGGCGCCGCAGTCCCGGCCGGAGCTTGGAGGGCTCCCGGGGGGCGGCGTGGGGGTGCAGGGGGTCCCGGTGAGTGGTGTGTCGGTGCTGAGCGAGGAGGGCGTCCCGGAGGGCGGGGCCCTGCGGCGCCGGGCCGGCCCCAACTCCACTTGGCCCACTCGCTCGGCGAACTTCAGCGAGCACACGGTCTCGCCCAGGTCCTCGGGCCGCGTGGAGATCTGCGGGGGAGCAGCGCTAGTGGGCGAGCCCCGAGTGGGCGGCGCCTAGCGTGCAGGCCGCCCCCCCTTGGCCCTGTGTCCCGCCCCACGCCCGCGCCCACCTGCAGCAGCAGCACGGCGGTGGCGCCGGGGCCGAGCGCGGGCTGCAGCAGGCGCGTGAGCTGCGAATCGCGGAAGGGCACGTGTGGCCGGCGGGCCCGCAGCGCAGCCATCACGCCTCCCAGCGCCAACAGCGAGCGGTTGATGGTCCGGGCCTCCCGGAGACGCTGGGCGCCGTCCTGGTCTCCCCGCAACGCGCCGGCCGCCCCCGCCTTCCAGGCACGCTCGGATCCTGCCAGGTCCACCAGGTGCAGCGTGCCTGCAGGAGCGAGCGAGCCCGACGTGGAGGGCGCCCCGGTCTCGGGTGCAGCGAGGCCCCCCGCAGGGCTCAGGCGCAGTCCGTAGTACCTGCGGGGCCCGCACCGCGCGGTGGGGACGCTGCGCGCAGCGTTAGCGTGACCAGGGCGTGCGAACGGGAGCTATGCTGGTTCATGGCGGTGGCGGCGGTGGCCCGGTTGCTCCTCCCCAGTCTCAGCATCTGGAGGGCGGAGCGACAGGACTCGCCTGCAGCAGGCTCTTGCTGCAGGGTCTGCGCCCCCAGGTAGGAGAAGAGGGCGGGGCCTCGGAGGGCTGCGCGGCCCACCTGGCAGCCTTACCTGGTGCAGCATCTCCAGGTTGGGCACGTCCCAGTAGGTGAGGCCAGTCACCTGGATCCCCCCCTGGCCTGCTGGTCCCTGCCTCACGGCCAGGCGCTCAGGAGGCCCTGGGGCTAGGAGGTCCCTGGTGAGAAAAGGGAGGGCTTTGGTCGGGGGTTCTCGGGGGGGGGGAGCCGGAAGCGCCAGGGGCCAGGGGCAGGGAGGAGGCTGTGCCGACCTGACAGCCTCGTTGTAGATCTCCACCATGCTGAGAGTCACGCGGTGCTGCCCTCCGGTCCCCATCTCCCGGAACAGTGACTGCAGCGCCCTAGGAGCTATGCCAGGGTCCTCAGGTGGGCCCTGGGAACGGGACGGGGTGCCACATGGGGCTCACATCCCAGTCCCTGGCCCCAGGAGCCACCCGGAGTGCCCCCCTTTCCCACCTCCATGCTGTAGGTCTTCCCGGTCCCTGTCTGACCATAGGTGAAAATGCAGACGCTGTAGCCTCGAAGGCAGGACAGCACAGCCGGCTCCAGCTCCCTGAAGACCTAGAAGTAAGAGAGGTGTGAGGGGTGGGGCAAGGTGTGAACAGAGCTCGATTCCCCTGGGAAAATGGCTCTAGGGGAGCATCGGGGAAGAGTGGATCTCCCCACAGACAGAAGAGGCTCCCTGGAGAAGGTGGCATTTGCCAGGCAAAGAAGGGAAAAGGAAGAGGTGATGCAGAGTACTGGAGAGGCCGGGGGCGTGGCAGTCAAGAGTCCAGACAGTGGGCTGGAGCACCAGGTTCAGACCCTGGGTGTGACGGGACGCCAGTCACTCATCGTCCTTCACATGAGGTTTCCCTCTGTGACGTGAGGACTGCAGTCACCCATTGTCAGGGTTGAGGGGAACATGTGCCGAGAGACCAGAGCAGTGCTTGGCACACAAAGGATGAGCCCAGAAGGGCCCCGGGGTTCAAAAGACGGGGCCAGCCAGGATCGCTGAAACCTGGGCCCTGGGAGGGTGCAGAGAGACAGCTTAGGGGGACATGGGGCTGGGACTGGACGCCAACAGCAGCCTTCTGAGCAATGACATGGCCAGCTTTCCTGCCCAGGTGGCTGGTAACTGAGTGGACTGTCAGTCCTGCTGGAAGTGTTGGCTGCTGGCCATGATGGCAGAATCCAGAATAGCCAGTGAGATCACTAAGAGTCCACGACTGGGAGGAAGCACTGGGGGTGACCATGGTGGCAGGACTGTGGCGCCACTGCAGAGATGGGGAACACAGGTAAGGGGGCTCGGTGACAGGTGCCTTTGGTTCTTCCATTCAGACATATTGAATTGGAGGGCCCTGTCCAGAAGAGCTGCCCACAAGGCAGTGGATACGGGGGGGCCCTTGTAGGGCTGCAATTTGGGACAGTGGCTGACGCCGGGGTGGTGTGTAGGATAAACAGAGAGGTGAGTGGAAAACAGCTGTGGTACTCCAGGAAGCGGAGCAGGGCGCCCCAGCCACCCGCTACACACTCTTGTCACACTGTTCCTGTGAGGCCAGCACGGGTCTGAGTCTCGGCCAGCTCTGTCCCTTACCTCATTCCCTCCCAGTCCTGAGCCTCTGTTTCCTCAGCCATGGAAGCTCTAGCAGCAAAGATTGTGTGTGACCAAGAGAGCATGTGTGAAGCAAGTTGGTGGGGGTCTGGGGCTTGAGACTCCACTTTTCCGCTGGGTCTGGCAGGAAAGGGGCAGAGGAAGGAGAGCGGGATCTGCAGGGCAGCGGGAGAGCACTGAGGGCCAGAAGCTCGCCCACTCACCCGTGCCCTCCACTGCCCACCTTGGCCACTAAGCCAGGAGGGGTGCCTGCCCCCACAGCTAGGCGACTCGGGACCCCCGGCTGGGGGAGTGGGCAGCCACTGAAGCCCAGGGAAGGAGATCACAGCACTGTTCCCACTGGAGCAGCACCCAAGCCATGCTCCGCAGCAGGCTCTGCGCGAGCAGTAACCCTCACCTCAGCAGAGTTTGTTTTCTTTAGTTTCTTCATAAAAAATTATTTTTGAAAATGTTAACCTTCCTGCCTAAACCAGAAGATCTGTTTTCCCTAGGCCTGCAGAGCTTGGTGGGGGGACACAGAGGAACAACGCTGGAAAGAAAAGAGGTGCCCAGCTAGTCTGCCAGTCCTGCCTCCCAGAACCCCGGCTCCTTTCTCTTCCTCGCTGGAGTCCAGCCACTCTCCCACCTGGGAGGACTGACAGACAAAAAGGAGAACCCGGAGCCTCTCTGGATTCCGGGGGACCCTGAGGGAGGGTGAGCACAGGTGCAAGGGCAGAGTATCACCTCCTCCTGGCTGGCGTCTGCAGGGAAGACCCAGTCCAGGCGGAAGCAATTTTGGCGCCCTCGATAGCAGGTGGTGACAGTGCCACCTGGGCCGGGCTCCGAGCTCACCAGGCTGGAGGGTGTCCCTGGCCTCAGCCGACACAGCACGCGGATATTTCCTGCGGTGAAGATCAGGTTGGGGTCCACTTCCACCCGCCTGCCCCCCCACTCCTCTGCACCCCAAGCCTGCCATACCCTTGAGCTCTAGCAGCCGCCCGGGGCATCCAGTTGGGGACCTCTGCTGCTCCTCAGGGAGCTGAGTCCCAGCCTCTCCGGCTGACAGTGCCCCCAGGGCCCAGGATACCTGGGGGAACAGGGATGTGAAGAAGGCAGAGAGGAACAGCCGAGGAAGGACCTGGGGGTGGCGTGAGGTGCTGAGAGCAACGTGGAGCTACCATGTGACCACCTAGATGTGGTGATCCACAATTTTCAGTGGCTTCAGGCTCCTGAGGACAGTCATTCTATGGACCTGGGGTAGAGCCCAGAAATCGGAGAACCACGGACAAGGACATCATCTGTCTCCTCTGGGCTCTTGGGAATCCTGAGAGATTCACTGTCTCCCCAGTTTGCACAGGACAAAAAAGGCCCAGAGATGACACGGCACTCAGGGTCACATAGCTGTTCTGCTTCCAGAGCCTACAACCTCTATCAGAGCAGGCAACTGCTGGGCTAGGAAAGGAAAAAGAGCAGGGGCTCCCCCAAAAGAAGGACAGTGATGGGGCTGCCCAGAGAGCTTGTGCTAGAGAGGGAGCAGGTGGTCCTGACCTGGCCTCGGGCCTCGCTCAACGAACCCTGACAGCTCTGGGTAAAGCTGCTGACCAGTCCTCGGAGGTCCCCGCAGCCCTGACGCAGGCTCACCATGCGTGCCCGGAGTCCTGGCAGGGGAAAGTTGTTGAGGGAAAGCCCAGACCCCATGGCCTTTCCATGAGCCCCCCAGCCCCAGGGCTTACCTGCCAGCTGCCCATGCATCTGCTGCAGCTCCCTTCTGCAGTTCTGCTCAGTCTCCTGCTGGAGCTGCCGGAGGGCCCCCCGAAGGCCCTGCAACTGCACCTCCTGCACCCCTAGCTGCCCCACCCGACCACCCGTTATGGAGGAAAGGGCACTTAACAGGCCCCACCTTAGATGCCCACCTCCCAGTGCCCCAGCCTTCCCAACCCCTGGGCCCAGTGTCCACCTGGACTCGGAGAGCTTCTGTGGTGTTCTGGGTCTCCTGAAGCCGGCTCTGGAGCTCCACTAGTGCCTCTGCCTCATCCTGCAGGAGGAATGGGAGGCAGGTGACCAATCGGGAGGGGCACTCCAGCAGCCCCATTTCACAGGCGGGGAAGGCAAGTCAAGAGGAGCAGGCAGAACCATGCCTCCTAACTCCACGCAGAGTTTCTTTCCCCAGGACCCTCTGCTCTTCTGGGAATCAGTCACTTGGAAGAGCCACAGGGCAGGGTGGAGGAATTCTCCCATAGGCATCGGTCTCCTTGACGGGGCTGCCCTGCACAGACCATCCCAGGGCCTATCCAGAGTCCTGGGCCCCAGCCTTGACAGGCTCGAGAGGACCTGCTACCTCTGTTCCAGCAGGCAGGAGATTCTGAGGAAGCCTGGCCTGTGTTGCTGGAGGCCAGTGTGCAGGAGCCCCAGACTGCAGGGATGTAGCAGCTACAGAGCAGGGTACCTGGGGGGTCCTGGGGGGTGGGCCGGGACCCCAGTGCAGCAGGAGGTGCCGAGTGAGACTCAGACTCTGCTTCAGGGCCTCATTCTCCAGAGTCAGGTGCTGAACCCTCTTCTCTGAGTCTGTGGTCCCCTGGTGGAGAGAGAAGCTCTCAGGAGTCACCTGAAACTCTGGGCCTCCTCTCCTGTCCCCCTCTTGAACCACCCAGGGCAGCCTCACCACTCCCAGGCGCAGTCGGCCCAGCTCCTCCTCCTGCAGTTCTAGCTGCTGCTTCAGCTCTTCCAGCTGGGGAGGAGGAGGGGGAACAGGGTGGAGCACCTCCTTCCTGTCCCCCCCAGTCCCTGCTGCCCCCTGGGCCCCTCACCTGTCCAAGGATGAGCTGTTCCAGCCGCTGCCAAGCTCTCTGGTCCTCCTCCAACTGAGGGGGCTGCTGGCCCTGGGCCTCACCCCTCCGTGAAAGGGAAGGGCTTTCTTCTTGGGATGGGGATCCTGGGGTGGGGCAGACCCAGTTAGGACTGATGAAGTCTCTGGCCTAAAAGACACGGCACCTCGGCAGCAGGGCTGGGCTTGGGATCTCACACTCCAGGCCGCTCAGGCTCTGGTGGGCTTCACTCCCTCAACACACTCACTTTTCAATTCACTACTCCCTACGCACCAGCAGGAGTTGGGGGCTGCACTCCCGAGGCTGGCTGAATCCCCTGGGGCAGGGCCTGCCTCCCCCTGGGGCTCCGAATCCATGCCAGGAGGGCCACGAGCTGACCGGTCACCGTCAACAGTAGGGGAACATCACCGGGCTGTGAAGGAGATAAGAAGCAGGCAGAGAAGACAAAGGAGCAGGGACGTGGGGGCCAGGACCAGGGAGAGAACAGGTTCCCGGAGAAGGACTCGCAGCCCCGCTCACCTTGCTCAGGTCAGGAGGATTCCCGCAGCTCTCTTCCGCCCCCAGCTGGGCCGAGAGAAACTCCGCAAGACGCACGAGAGCCTCTTCCAGGGAGACCTCGACGGGGCGGCCCTCGGGTCCCCGGGCCGGCCCATCCTCAGACTCGGAGCAGCCTGCGAGGCCAGGTGGTGGGAAGGGGCGGCGTGCTGGGTCACGTGTTGGAAACTAGGCCACAAGATGACTCATACCAGGCCCTCCCTCCCTCTCCTGTACGGCGTGGTTCCCTCTTGGCCCCGGGGACGCAGCGCTCCCGACGCACCGACAACACCTACCAACCAGGCCGGTCAGCTCGGTCCACAGTTCTGCCGTGGGCTGGTGGGGGCGGCGGCGACCCCTGGGCTTGCGGGCCCCCTAGGAAGCAAGGGGAGCCCCTGAGGCGAGGCCAGGCAGCCTGCGGGGCTCCCTCCGGGAACTGGACCACAGGAGCTGGGGCTGAGGTCTCTGGTCCCAACACCAGAACAGAGACAGGGTCCTCGCCACGGCTCCCTCCCCAGCGTCAGCGCCCCACGCTGCGCGGGCCCGAAAAGCCGCTCTGAGAAAGGGGTCGCCGGCCGCGCTGCGCCCGCCCCCGCTCACCTGGGCGGGGTCCCCGGGATCGGCGGCTGCCACCGCCCCGCCATCCCTGCGGAAGAGGCTGTAGAAGATGTAGATAAGCAACGAGTAAAAAGCGTACATGGGAGCGCGGGGCGGCAGAGGGCCCCACTTCGCGCCGCCCCGCGTCCCCGCGCACCGACCCGGCACCCGCACGCCGCACCGCCGCTGCGCATGCTCCAGGCGGCCGCCCCCACGGCCCGGCTCCGTGGGCGGAGGGCTCGCGCCCGAGGAAGGGGGTGCCACGATCAGGTGTCCCCGGGGCCCCGCGGACACCTGCCCCGCGCCCCCACCTCTACTTCCCGAAAATCTGGGGCTGAGAGTGCCCACGGCCCCCATACCCCCTCTCCTCGGAGTCCCTCTCAGCCCTCGGTGGAGGCCCCACAGCTCCCGCCCTTAGAGCTGTGGGCCCACGGGTGTCCAACCTCCACTCCCCGCGCAGCCCCCGCCCCTCACGGCCCCGCCCCTCCTCTTACAGACCCGCCCCTCCCATCAGCCCCCTCCTCTTACAGCCCCGCCCCTCCCCTCCCAGACCCGTCCTCTTACAGCCCCTCCCCTCCCCGCCCCTCCTCTTACAGCCCCGCCCCTTCCTTCACAGCCCCCTCCCCTTACAGCCCCTCTCCTCCTCTCATAGCCCCCTCCTCTTACAGCCCCTCCCCTCCCCTCCCCTCATAGCCCCGTCCTCTTACAGACCCGCCCCCCCCCCCCCCTCATAGCCCCGTCCTCTTACAGACCCGCCCTCTCATCACAGTCCCCTGCTCTCATAGCCTTGCCCCTCCCCTCACAGCCGTCTCCCCTACCCCCAAAGCCCCCTCCTCTTACAGCCCCGTCGTTCTCCTCAAAGCCCCTTCCGTCACAGCCCCGCGCCTCCCCTCATAGCCCCCTCCTCTTACAGCCCCGCCTCCTCACAGCCCTGCCCCGCCCCTCTTAGATCTTCGTCCCTCCCCTCACAGCCCTGCCCAGACCCGCTCCCCTCACAGACCCTTCCTCAGACCCGTCCCTCCTCTCACCACAGATCCCTCCAAACCACTGAACTAATACACCCGTATCCTCGTTAATAGCCTCCTCTTCCTAGTCCCCGCCCCTGTTTTACAACCCCATCTCGCTCTCCTAGAACGCCCCCTCCGCCCAGGCCCCGCCCCCTGCCGCTCTAGCCTCCGCTCCTCTCGTTGGTTCGCGCCGGGGCTCCGCGGGCCGGGCACGGAGGCGGGGGGGCAGCGGGCGGCGCGGTGGGCACATTCCGGCCTTTCGCTCGCCGTTACGTCCGGGCCGCGCAGCTCCGCCTCCCCTGAGGGCCTGCGTCGTCGCTCCTTCCAGGCCGAGGACGGCGCCTCCCCGAGCGCAGGGCCCAGGTGGAGTGGGCTTGTGCGCACCCCGCGCCCCTCTCCCCGGGACCCGGCGCCCCGACTTTGGTTCCAGGGCCCCAGGGCTCACGCCCACCCAGCCCAGGCCCCGCGCCGCCTTCTCCTTTCTTTTCCTGGCCGAATTAGGTTTTTCTTCCCCACAGTTGTGTCCAGTGGCCTCAGGGCTGCCGAAAGTTTCGGATGAGCCTATCCCAACATTTAGAAATGTGGCTCTGGAACCTGGAAGTCCTGGAGAGTCGCCCTTAGGGCTCCAGATCGCCGGCTTCTGCGTTCTTTCTTCCTCTCCAAAGCTAAGGATCCTCAAACTCACTGTCTCCTCAAACTCACTACCGCCCGAAGTGCCATGGCCCCCAAGCCGTGGGGTGAGTGGAGCACGGCCCTGTCTCACCTGGCGCTGGGAGTGGTGTCTCTGCATGCAGCCGTGAGTACTGCCCAGGTGAGTACGCTGGGTCAGGCAGGGGCATATCCCACTCCCAAACCCCAGGGACCTAGCTAGTTACCTGGATCAGGGAGAGGGTGAGTCTGGGGGCCAGGCTTCCATGAGACCCCCAGACCCTTCCCTGCTTAAAGAAAGGCTCTGACCTCTTTTTCCCACATCTCCTTTCTCTGTGTTGACAGGCAAGTCGAGGGGCTGCTGCTGGCTTCCTGCTCCAGGCCTTGGCTGCCGCCACCATGCTGGCCCCAGGACTGGGCACAGATGAAGACTGTCTTGCTGGAGCCTGGGTAGCCACTGTCATTGGCCTACCCCTTCTTGCCTTCGATTTCCACTGGGTGAATGGGGACCGCTCCTCCGCCAACCTGCTCCTGGGAGGAGGCATGGTGCTGGCAGTGGCAGGTGACCACCTTAGCGCTGAGGGCCGCTCTGTGGCTGGTCAGGCAGTGGTGCTGGTGGTCGCAGTGACCATCCTCATTGTGGCTGTTTTCACGACCAACACTTATGGAATGTGGGGGGGTGCGATGCTGGGTGCTGCAGGCCTCCTGAGCCGGGTGGAGGAGGACAGACTGCTGCTGCTGCCAAAGGAGGATGTCTGTCGAGGGGCCCTGGCCGTGGGCAGTTGGGCCTACCACCGGGCTCTGCACACACAGCGCCTGCAGTGGGAGTGACAGCAAGGCAGGGCTTCTGCCCTGACTATCACCTCCCTCTCCCACCAGCCTGCTCCTGGGGCCTCCTCCCCTAGGGATAGACTGTCCTTTCTCCCCAAGTGGGCTTGCTGTAGGGTGACCCATCAGAGAGCAGAGTCTGGGCGCTGCCCCTTCTCTGGCTGAGTGTGGGGACTTGCGCAGACCAGAATGAAGGGGTCTTAGGCATGTTTTGGGGCCTGACTCTGGGCAGGCCATGGTCATGGATCCAGAGAGAGGCCTGGTCTCCAATAAACCTTGGGGATTCAGCAGAAATGTGGAATCTGCCCATTCTTAAGAGGGATTGAGGGGTCCTCCGGGGAGCTTCCTAAGGCTCCTAGAGCAGCAGCTGATTTCTCGGAGCGAAGGAAGGGAATGCGCTGGAACCAGCCACGGGGCCTCCCCCAGCCTGGCCTCCTGCTGGTATCTTTGTCAGGAGAGCCCCTGGACTGAGAAGACATACTCCTGGGCCCTTGCTCTCCTGGGACATAGTGGGGTTCTGAATATCCTTGCACGGCCTGGCAGGTGGCCCTCTAGGGCAGTGACCTTCACGGGCTGCTGCCTGGGGTGGAAGCAGGGGAGGGCTGTACCACAGCTGCTTCCAGAAACGCACATCTCCCCGTTGCTGACTCGACCTCTACCTGTTTGCCCTCTGGCCTGTGCAACGCAAGTCCTGATTTCCTAAGACCCTTACTTTCCTCAGTGGACCCTTCTTCAGCTCCCAACCCCAGGATTAGGAAACGGGATTGGCCAGAGCAGTGGGTTAGATTCGGGGTCCAGAGTCCTCCCGCGGGGAGTCCGGGCGCTTGAGTCCTGTGGAAGCACATCTGGTCCCGCACAGGAGGGAAAGGGGTGGCCCCCGGGGTTTGTCGCTCCGGGAGCCACGCTAGAGCCCCGCGCACGCAAGCCCGAGTGTCGGTGGACAAAGGCGCACGCACACCCCGACGTGGGGTCCAGCGCTGCCCCCCGTCCCCGGTGACCCGCGACGTGTGGGCCGCGCCCTAGACGGCCGGAAGCGCCGCCCTCGCCCCGACCCCAGGCGCGCGCCCCTCCGCGGATCGCCCTGGGCCCCGCCCCCTCCCTGCCCACTTTCTGCAGGGGCGGGCCTTCGGGAGCTCTCGAGTGCCCATTGGCTCTGGCCGCAGCACTGTCTCGCCCCGAGCGGCGCCCCCACTGGTCCCGCGCTGCTCACGTGACAGGGAGAACGAGGGGGCGGTGGCGGCGGCGGGGGTGGGGGAGCGCGCAGCGAAAACAAAGATGGCGGCTGCGCCGGGGTTGGTGGCCGCGGCGGCTGCGGGGCGACGCGCGGGCCGGACCCTCTGAGGCGGCA